CCGCATTTCGGCCAATGTGGGGAGTGTGGTATATCATTTGCACAACCGATGTGAACCTGCATTTCACGCAAATGCTCGTTGTATTTTCTATCTTTCTAGCAACTTAATTCCACTTGATCCAGCGTGGATTTTTTCCTTTCAGTGACCGGGACCTTGTAGGAGCACGAAAACGGACATGTTATTATATGGCTTTAATCCGTCGAACGGCCTTATGAATATATGTTTTAGATACCTGTGTAGAGATAGTGAATTCACACCAAAATCTTCTTCGTTATGGCTTTGTATCCTGTGGGGTAAATGGAGTGTTTTCTTTGAGTTTAACGTTTCCGAGTAGGGGACTTTTTTTGTAGAAATGCAGAGTGACGTACTCGTTTTGCCAGAGATCCGCTTCCGTCCATACAAAAGTTTAGGTATACTATACTAAAGCTCATGCAATCGCGAGCTTTACAGTCAAGGCAAAATTGTGCAATTTCACATTTCGCATAGATGGTTCAGAGCGACTACAGACTATCTGACACCTCAGAGTGTTTGGCTGAATTTGAGCCACTGCTGTTTCTATCTAACTCGCCAATCTTGTTTCTTCAGAGGATTGGAGTGCACTGTTTTTACCAAACTGGGTTTTTGTGATTTTTTTGGTCGCATGCGGATTTTTCGTCAAACCTCTAGTGGTCATTCGATAGCTTAAAAAATGGGAACTCCATCATAAAGCCTGCTTTTTTTAAAGGCTTTAGTGCGTTGTAACAACGAAGAGAATACTACGCTGCGACGTAGAAATAGTAGGTCCGCTGTATCACATCACAGCGAATTCTTTGGTGATTATTAAAGTGAAGTTTAGGCCTTAATAGCACTTTGTTCTTTGGGAGAGATGTGATATCATTGTGGCGCATTGTTAGAAAGGTAGTTGTAGCTGTAATGAACGCCTAAACCTTCTAGGCAATGCAATAGTGAAGCAGCAAAAAAGAAAGTAGCTTTGACTTTACTGCACATTACCACCTATCTTACGAGAGTGCAACTTAAAAACCCATGTTCTCTAATGTAGGGCTCTAGAGGTCAACGAGTGGTCAAATTCATGGAATACCATCGACAGCTTTGTATTGACGTTGTTGATGATCACCCAACTATGACCACTGCATCGATAAAAAGTTTAGGCAGATACGTTGAAATCTCTCAAAAATTTATTCAAGAACCTTCGAATCTAAAAAGCAATTGAACTCCTGAATAGCTTATTCGTTTGCCTGTTTAGGTTCTTCTCCGTTGTCCGGGACTAAACGAGGAAGCGACCCCTTCCGCTAGACTTAAACTTTCATTGCACTTTCAGTGATCATTCGAAAGCTTAAGTCTATGACTACTGCCCACCTGGTCGTTTTTCGAGGAAGTTTTTTCATGATGCAGTAGCCAGAAGAAAGCATTTGTTTTTCACAAGCGCATGATTTTCACAGGGCACAAAATCTTTCTCAAACCATAATAAGCCATTCGATGGCGTAAGTTTCGATGAATCCGATGCTGTACTTAGTTTTTGGAAAGATCTTTTCATTGCGGTGTGGCAGAAAAAGACAGACTGTGTTTCACATATGTGGTCATTTGTTCAAAGGTTAGTGTGCGTGCTGGGCATGGATTGCATAGGGCGACCTATCGATCGTATTGGCGCTATTAGCACATGGAGTGTATTTTCTGTCATTTTATTCGGAAATTTCCCTGTTTTAAAAGAGGCTCCAGATGTATAACTGTGATACTACAAAATTACCTCTGAAAGATCATATGCAGCTCGTGCTTCAGTAAATTCATACTGAAAGCGCGCGTACAGTGCAAAACTTAATATTATTCCGAATGCCCAGCCTTATAAGGAGATCTTTCAGAAAAACGGCCTGGTTGCGCAGTAAGCACAAATTTCGCTTTCAGATCATTACTAACATTCTTATGAAAACTTCTTGTTCAGCGAAAGGACTCGTTTCTCCACTTGTTCCCGGATACCTGGAAAAAATCACTTTTTTCCTTTCCTCTCATTTTTACGAAAAAATTCGAAACTTGAAATATTTCTTTCACTTTCGAGATGACACCTTGTATGAGAATCTTAATGTAAAAATACCCTATCTCGTACTTACCACTATAGGTACAATTCTGATCGGAATGTGGTAACCTTTCCGTAATCTGATCATCGTTTCTAACCCTTGTAAAAAACGTATTTCCCCGTCTTTTCAAATCTTCAAATAATTGTTCGACAGCACAAATCAAAAGATTTTGAATGCTATATGTCATCTTAAAAAAAACCCTCTTATTGCGCTGAAAGAGCAAGAATAAAATTTTGTTCCTCTTTGAAAGATTTCTCGCTGGCTAAAATTTTCCTTTGGAGTTTTAGTAATCAATCGATATATCAAACCTTGAAATTTCCAATGATTTACTTGGTTTTCATGAAGGACCTGCCATTACGCTGTAACACCCAAAAGAAGATTGGGTTTCACAAAAAAAGGATCACCTCCACTATCCTCTCCTCACTTCGATGCATTGGGCAAAACGTATTTTCTGATCGTTTCTAATGCTTGAATAATCAATAGATAACTTAAATCAAGAAAATTTTAAATATTTTATTTTATTTTAAAAAGGCCTTTTGCGCTGAAAGAGTCAAAAATAATAATTTGCTCCTCATCCAAAGATTTTTCTCTCACCAGGGCCTCTCTCTTATAGTTTCATAAATTAAACATAGATCAAATCTCAAGAATTCCAATAATGTTTTTTGGTTTCTTGAACGAACTTCTTAGTACTTTATGAGAACCGAAACAGAATTTGGTTCCGTATTCGTAATTTTTTTCTAAAATTGCGAAGCCCAATCTTCCTTGTCTGTTACATCGTGATACGAAATCCATGTTTAAGGAAAACTGCCAAATAGATCATAATTCTTAAAATCTGGTCTATCGATTGGTTACTAAAAGTTCGGAGGCAAAGCTTTGGACAGCTAGAAATCTTTCAAAGAGGAACAGAATTTTATTGTTGATCTTTCAGCGTAATAACAAGGCTTTAGATGGAATACACCGTTCAAATTTTTTTGATTTAAGATAGAGATTGGTACTTAACCGTCAGAAAACGAGCGCTAAATAAACTTTTTTGAAGGGTAAAAACAGCGATCAGATAACGGAAAAGTACCCATCTTTCTTGTTTGAACTTATTTCTGCAGATATAAAACAAATACTGTTTCATAGGCTTACCAATCCCAGTAAAAGACAAAAATTTAGATTACTTTTCAAGGCCTTTTTCTTTCTTCCGTGATTATTACTCATAGATATTCTTCTGTCGAATAGGAAGATTTTTCTCCTTATCATCAGTTCTGTAGATAGCCCAACTAGCTTACAACGTTTTAAACTCTTTTCGTGGCCGTAGTTTTCCCAGATGTTACCAGCTTTGAATTATGACTAAAAATCTTGACAACAATACCTCTTTTTCGTATCGGAGCTATCTCCAAAGGAAAATGAAATTGTTGGCTCACTTCAAAGGGATCCAATCCTTTTAAGAACATCTTCATACGATTGTGGAGTGTGGTATTTTATCCATTCTGCAATGCCTATAAATAAATTTACTTATACTAGGAGACATCCTCGTAGGAAAAGGCGTCAAATTGCTTTAGGGAGATTTTACTAGAGCTATAATCGATTTGATATAGACGTGAAAGATAATGAAGCGCTGACCTGCTGCTTTGAACATTGCAAATCAATGAGCTTGGCCGATGTCAAGAGAAAACTTCGTTGCCATTGCGAAAAAAAGTTCGAGAATAAAGCTTAAAGTGTCCAACATTGATGAAAGTCATCACCTGTATCACCCGTCGTCTCGTTCACCGTCCAGTGACTCGAACGAGCATCATCAGCCCTTCTATTTCTCCCTATCGCGTGCAAAAGTAGCTCAGTGGATCCACCGCTCTCTAGGACTTCGTTGAAGATTATATCTTTCTTCTAGGCTTTTCGTGAAAATAAATGACCAGTGGATGGGCCTGTGGAGCGTTTGACGTATCGAGGAATCCAGTTGATAACAGCTTTCGTCCATTGGTTGTAAGCGAATTACGTGTCCAGCCCATCTTATTTTCGGAATCCTGGCGCCTAGAACGGCGTCTCTGACCTTCGATCGTTGACGTAGGTCGGAACTTTGTATCCCTTCGCTCATATGCAAGATTCCGGATACTACTAACATGAACCTTTAACTGCGCTTGTATTAACGCCAAGTGATCATTCACTCTGCTTGCGTAGTGGCCAGGTTTCTGATGCATATGTTAAGTCAGAGATAACAATTGAGTTAAAAGGTGGGCGCGGATTCGGCTGTTCTTTATTTTCTTCACTGCATCTTCGATGCTCTTGAACACTCCCGGAGCCGCTCTCTGCCTCCTACTCAACTTTGGAGCTAGAACGTTCATCACGCTGATTTCATGACCTGGATAGAAGTAACTGGAACATTCGGAGATGTTCGTTCGTTGAGGATAAATGAGGCATTCATAAAACATCCGTTTCTCATAAACATGCTAAAAAAGATGAAAGTCATGGAGGTGAATAAATTTATATCTGTCAGATACAGTGGGATGGTATTCGCTATTTTTTAGCCAAAATTTTGATACTCCCAGACAAATCTGGCTAAATTTGCCAACGACTAAACGATGAGAGGACTAGTGATCCAGATCATGAAATCGCGCATAGATGCGATTATCTGTAGAATACAAAGCACCTTTTGCAAATGCGCTACCTCCATCATCAAAGATGAAGACATGATGGTGGAGATTTGGAGGTTAAGGATTTGAAAACATGCAGATAATTGATAACATAATTTGAGCCTTTTGTGTCCGGTATGGCACTTATACAGTATTACAAAAGCAATAAATTTTGACTTCACATGAATCTTGCACTTCTAAGGTATCATGCGGCAAGTGATCCGTGAGAATCGTCCCTACTTGTGCCCGTAATATTTTTTGACAGAATGTAAAAAGAGAAAAATAAGCCTAATAATGTAGAGTGCTGTGCAAAAATATCTGCGTCCGCCGGGATTTGAACTCAGATCCCACTCTTTCCGGGAGCGTGTTCTGAACCGTTGCACTATCGACGCTCGTTGAACACCGCTCTTTCTAAGCTACAACACGTTATTTGGCAACAACCAGCCGCTAACGATTTGACAGGGCAGCCGCTATCGGCACTGAACCTACTTGTGCTGACAGATATTAGGTATATCATACCACCGCAAGAGGCGGTCAAATCAATGAATTCCAAAAAAAATATTTCGTATTTACGTGCAATTTAAATTCGTCTTCCTTACTGTCATTAGTTCTTCAATTCTACTCTATTCAGTGGATTCTTCACAAACGGACACCTATTTTCTCTGCATTAAAAAATACTGGTGAGCTAAGATATGCGAGGTAATAAATTTCCAAAGAACAAGCTTAGAACTGGTGTTGGAAAAATCGTTCTGATGAATTCCTGTCAAGGTTCCCGAAAATTTTAAGATTATATACTACCCATGTGTTTATGCTTTATATGTCAGTGGTTGTATAAGGTAGTGCAGTGAAATCAGTCAATATTGATAATCAATCGGAATCGCATCTAAGCAACCAGCTGTAGCTTCCGTAAATTACTCATAAGCGTACTAACTTATATAGTATAAATCTCGCGAGAATAAAACGACATGTCGTTGTAATTTTTCTCACAAGAATGTATAGTTATTCTTACCTGCCTTCCAGTAAGCGATGTTTGATCGACGCCGTAAATGTTACTCGTTATCTCTCAAAAGCGCTTCAATCGCGTGACCTTAACTGGATATCATACAATCAATTGCTGTATCAACTAATCTTATTTTAACTCTCGCATTTATCGATAATATCTTTTTCGTCCTTTTCAGCTATTGGTGAAGTCTTTTAGGAAGTCATCCATATACATATTGACCGACTAACATGCCCTTCTGAACTTTTCTATCGTGGCAATAGTTTTCCACTTTAGAAAAATAACAGATTTCCAGGATATTGTTGCTCCACGAATAATGACAGATCTGTTGTCTATTTATTCCATGTCGGTCTTCCTTCTTGTCGTTTTCTGATAAGCGATCACATGGAATTTGATGTGACAAACGGCCTCAAAATGGTGTCTTAGGTGCAACACAAGAAGCAGTTTCCACGGAGTGTCGTAGCTGAGTTCGTTTTGTCCTTTCCAATGACGTGCCATTGAATCCGAGATTTGATCGTCTCTCACCAATTCTACCAACACTCAGCGTCTTAGACGGGAGCACTCAGTGTGTGAGGTAATGAGGCAAATATTTTCCTGCTGATCTTGTTTTTTTTTTTGTTTCCTGAACCTCGAGGTCAGCCTAACCAAGCCCTTTTTCAGGTCTTCACCACTTCAGGCGATCGCCGGCTGTTTGTAGAACAATGGGGGGATTACCACCTTGCTACTAGTAGCTATCAAGACGACAACGATTTTAGTGATTTACCCTCAGTTGGCTTTCCAGGTGGAGAAAATGTCGAACTCCCTCTCTACTTGGGAGGCCGTGCTAGGAAGGAAAATCCCTAGTGCACATCGCAGTCCTATGCTCACGAAAACTTCTCAATCATGGTGAAACGGTAAACGATTCGAGAGGAGATGACATGGGATATTCAGTTTGTTTATTTTACTTTGTTGTTCTTAGATCATTTACTCATTCCAATCCTATGATCCATAGTTTGGAGGTGATAGCTGTATCTGATGTTAAAATGTAATATTTATTCGGTGGTGGGCTTCTTCTAAACAAAGAGTTAAATTTTTCCATCCACGAGTTCAGCTGATTGTAAACCAATAACAGGAATCGCCAACGTTGCTGTAATAAAGTAGATCTCAGCTAGGATATTTTCCTCTGAGCCAAGGGGTAGGCTACTGCTTTGGCCGTGAGAATTGAGAACGCTGTTGCATTGAACTCATAGAGAAACACAGAGCAGCACGATTAGAAATAAGGAATGTCGGACTGTCAGCAAGCGATAAATTCATAGATTGCACAAGATATTAAGCGAAAGCCATACTCTCGTGGCGCTCTGTCGTGGATTTCTTACGTTTTGTGTTTACACAAGGTGGTCCCGATCTCCATGAGACACTAACCGTTGTGTACTATGTGGAACCGCACATCACTGTGAACTTGGCGTAGTAGCCCTTTAAGAAATAAAATTCAGGAAATCGGCTTATGATCTCATACGAAATTTTTCTTTGTTATCATTCATTTTTAATACTCTCGCGAAGGGTGACACCCACAGGGTGTCTTATACTAGTCGGTTTTTTGTTTCAGTGAAAAGAAGTTTTTTTCCAAACAATTTTTGTAAGCAAGTGATAGCTCACTTAATACAGATGCTCTGGTGGGTGCGATCAAAGAGAAAAGGCTTCTTATACAAATTTTCTCTTTTTTGATAAGAGACCATTACTCTGGAGAGAATGTGTGGCGTAGAGTGTGTGGGTAATGAAGAGATGAAGAAATGGACGATGTTCAGCATCATTGACCAGCGGTTTGTTCTTTTCTTCATTCAATCGCTATGGTGCCTTTTTGTGAGATTTTGACTAGGAGGATATCGAAGTTTGGAGATAAACGTAGTCTTATCTCTTAGGCAAGATGTATAGCTTAATCAAGTACTGAGAGCGTCTGATTACATAGTGAGCGAATGTCTTTTCTTCACCGGTGCAATAATGTGCCAAAACCATGCTAGTGTTATAAAAGTACATGAACAACACATATGATAAGAGAAGCAGGACTATTTATGTAATGGAAATTCTAGCAAAGGAAAGAAGCTAAATGCAGACCGCTACTATGGCTGGTATGACATCCATAAGTGTCACAGTGAGCACGATGAGGACTTAGACGACGCCCACTTCATAGAAATTTTGAATTCAGGCATTGAAGAAAAGTTTTAAGGTACACGGTAGAAAAAAACATCTGTGTCATTATTTGTCATTCCACACATTGTTTTTGCTGATTTTTTTTTTTGTGTTTTGAAGCGTTGATTGATACTGTTTTAAGTGAAGAAGTTAAGAGCATCTGAACGATTTCTTTTGAAACAAATTCTTCGAAAATTTTCTTATCTCGAAAACGATGGATATATATATATATATATATATATCGGTAGCGAAATACATATGAACGGATCATTCAAGGAGAAGATTCGATTAAAGGTGACGAGAAGAACGGAATGCTGAATCTGAGAAGAACGAAAGTATTTTTCTTATAAATCTCTTGAAGTTTGTAATGAAATCATCTGCATGCGCAGTTACACATGATTTACATGCCACAGAATAGTGCTCATACATTTCAGTTTATTTGGAAAAGGTCAACACAGGAGGAATCCAGTACCGGAGGGACTCTTAGGAGGAGTGTGAACTAATGCAGTTGAGCTCATTGTAAAGGACCAGACAAATTTACATGTAAAACAAGATTAGGAGCCTGAAATTAATCATTCACTAAAGAATCTGCTATCCATTGGTCATTATTAAGCATCATTAGAGGTGATCAAATGCAAATCTGGCAATAATATTAGCTACCGATTTTTCAGATAAGTGCTGCTATTCCTATGTTATTCATGTGTCATCACTCAAATCAACAGTATGTAACCTAAGGTGTCATAATTTCACTCTCATTCGGTTTGTTAAGGCATTAACTGCACACATTCGCTCGACCCACACATACGAACTACCATTTGTGTTTGAGACCTGTGGAAAGGCATACATTGGTGCGAACGAGTTAAAAAAACACTGTCGAACGCACACCTCCGAAAACGTAATTTTGTAGGTACCTTACATTTTTAGAATTTTCTGTCAATCTATCAACAATTTTTTCGCACGAGAAGGTTATCAGAAAAGCAGTAGAATGTTGTTTCTATTTACATCAAATTGGAACTCAGGCACCTTGAATGAAGCGAAATGTTTGGTGGTACGAAAGTATGGCAGTTTCATTTTGTGAATTTCTAATCGTAATAACTAGACTCAAAAACATCTTTTTCGTTCAAAGTAAGAGCCACTGCAATAAAAACATTTTTGTTAATGCGAAATGAGTTTGTTTATTCCTGTGGAGCAAAAATCGGTGTGTGGGGATTGGCGAACCCTTGGAAAGCTTTTTCTGCATCCTGTTGATCGTATGTACATTTCCCCTGCAAAAAGTTATCGAAATGCTTGAAGAGATGGCAGTTGGTGGACGGGAGGTCCGACAATTGTGGAGGATGAGGCAATCATTTCGCTAAATTTCCGGAGCTTCGTTGTGCGGCATATGGCTTTCGACTGGCTGTTAGAAACAGCCATTACTTTTGCTCTAACATTCTTCATCCTTACAAACTGCTCCAATTGATGAGCAAGAGTAGATTGGTCGACTGAGTTATCTTGAAACATGTCACGCAATCTTATCTTTGATTGCTGCTTTCTCATGACTCTAAAAAGATTCGTAAAAGATAGTTGGCGTTTATATATTGTTGAAATGCGCCTCCTTTAACGAAACTTCTTGAACCACAACTGCACTGTATGTTTTTGGGCCAAATGCGCTTTCGATATGGCAAGCCGCCTCTGCTGCCTTATGATCCATTTTTAATTCACGGTTGGAATAAAGACTCAAATATAGAATTCTATTAGTGATATGGTAACATATTTTAATCCTTTAAGAGATATGTCATGGCACATACTTAGTGCTAGACGTACGTTTCGCCCTTTTGGCCTCATCAGTAGCACGGTGCTTTTCAGTCCAATCAACTTCATGAAGGGCACATACCACTACATATAAAGGAATCGACGTCGGGTTATCTTATCACTTTACGGGCAGTGTAAATAATTTTGCGTCGACTCCATCATATGTAGCGGGTATATCCCCTTACAAAAAACTGACTGAACGGGAAGGCACCGTGCTACTAGCAAGGATGAGAAGCCGAAATGTGCATTAAGCACAATAAGTGCTATAACAGACCTCATGAAAGGCATAAAAGACGTTATCAGGTTATATATTGTTTCGATCGAGGTCTCAAGAAAAACAGTAGAGAAGTAAAGTATTTCATTCAGTAGTGTTGACCACTAGTGCACATGTGCACAATCGTGTAAGCTCGATCTTGTAATTCTAATAACGTAATG